TGGTCAAAAGTTCATTTATTTTGGCGACTCTGGAATTTCATTTGCATGTTTAGTCGTTCATTCAAAATCGTATTATTTCTCTTCCTTCATTCGGGCCATGCCAGTCCATAGATTTCTCTCTCTTTTTTTCTCTTTTCCATCAATACAGTTGCTTGGTCAGCCGTGGTGGATTTTTCTTATTTTTTATTTTATTGATCTAAAGAAACATAATCGTTTATTTCAGTACCGACGCACGACCAGAAGGTTAAATGGTTTTTTTTTTTTTTTGCAAAACAAAATATATACCGAATTGCAGTTGTTTTTATGCAGTGCGTGTAGTGCGGTTGGTGATATTTTCTCTTACGTGTATTTGTTTCCATTTTCTTCTTAATCTTTCAAGTTCTGTTTTTTTCCCGTCTTGGTTGCTTGTTTGGTTGTTATTTTCTGTTCAAGAGAGTAGAAGGCTTTTGTTTCGTTTCGCCGAAATGAGGTTCTTTAATAAATTTTTTTTAGTTGCATTTTTTGGGGATTTGTTCATCGATTCGCTTGTAAAGAAAAAATCGTTTCAATTCAATTCAGTTGACGTTCATGGTTACGTATCACATTCCATGGACTCGAAATGCCTCTATTCGAGTGACCAATGCTTACTGACCACTAATTTGTGTCGGTGTGTGTGTGTGTGTAAAATGAATTAATGGTGGATTTTACACATAATTTCCCTTTAATATGAATAAACAATCGATTTTTAAATGATTTTAATGCCTCAATCAATTTTGAATTGGTCAGCCCACCACTGACGATGCCAACAACAAAAAAATATCAATATTTTTCTGGTAAATCGATATTATTTAACGTCAATATTGTTCGATTATCCTCTCCATCCTCTCCGTCCTTTCCATTCAGATGATTTAAATAGAAATTTAATCGTTATTTATTCGAATAGGAAAACGAATTTAATTCGTTGGAAATTGTCTATCAATAGAAAAAAAAAGTATTTCCATAGAAAAAATGGAACAAAGAAAAGAAATTCTTATTGGGAGCAGTTCGGTTGGTTAAATTTTTTATTGAATAAACTCATGGAAAAGAGAATTCCAAAATTAAAACTGATGGTGGTTCAATGCAGAATATGTTTGGGTAAACTGCTAAAAATACGTTGCATCAATGATAGCAATATAAATTTCATTTAATTATACACCCTTCGAAATGCGCTCAATGATGATGGAAAACACTTAATCAACAAGCAGAAAAGCGAACATGCGTGTGGACGTAAGCCAATAAATGATCAAAGTGCAAGGAATGCACTAAAACGCGTATAGTTCACGTCGGAGCACTGTGTTTTTACGCCGCCGACACACGCACACACCACGATTGCTGCCAGCAAATGGGCATGGTTGGAAAATATAGGTATCGATAAAAAAAGGATCATAACACTCATTAATCGAAGCTCAAAACTACAAAAACTATGACCATAATGATTCGTTAAATGTGGATTCTTGTTGGTGTCATATGTTCGGCGTGTGCATCGACCCAATTTTTCTTGCATTCTCTTTGATTCCCATTCCGTTTTTTTTCGTTCTCTCTATCTCTTGTAAATCGATGTTTAATTTAATCCGACGGTTCAAAACAATACAGCACATGCGGTATGAGGGACTAAGGGTAGAAAAATTAGTCCTTCTGCTGCTGCTTCTCCACCGTACTATAAATGATTATTTCCAAGCACAAGCAGTATCATTCTGAGTAATAATGCCGTCAACAGGTTTAATTATAGAACCGAACATTTAATGCGTCTGCTTCGACCTTACCAAATATTTCTTTACCCCGAATCAACCATTATAAAAAAGTGTTTGTGTTGATGATCGATCAATTTTCGATTTTGAAATTGATACGAATCGATGAAATTCAACACAATATGGTCATTTTACACTAATTATCTCATGAAAACAAAAACCCATAATGAAGAATGTGGATAAAAAAAAGTGTCAACGTTTTTTTTGTCCTTCAATTTATAACAAACACATTTTTGATTGTCACTCTGAGGTGTGTCATCACAGATGACATTTTAATTATAGAAATTTTTCAATCAAACAATAGAAACGAATCAAACGTCAAGAGGGTATCGTTGAACCTGTTTTTCGTATAATAATCGATGGTTTTGATTCTAAGCGCCAGCTCTTGTGTCATAAAGCTGATTCGTAACGTTTAATCAGCATGATAAAGTTGCTGATGCAAACAATTGTCAATGCAACGACAACGACATAGAAATTCGCAGAGAATTGATGTGATATAGTCAAGGTGCGCGCGCGATGATTTTTATCGTTGCCATTGTGTCGTTGGCCATTTCTCTTTGCAAACACAGCGAGGCATATAGTTGCTTGTTAATTATTCGACTGTGTCTTTTGAGTTCGATCGATGCCTTATCCAGTGGACGAACGACTCATTCTCGCTCCGTGTGTTCATCAGACAATCGTCATTCGATTTGCATACGAATATGTGGCGCGAATAACAATTTCTCCATGTGTCCGGGCGCGAGCGACCGAGAGCAAGCGATAGGCCACAGAGAGTCACCATAAAATGTTTTATGCAATACACCCGAGTGACGAAATAAACGTACATAATCTGAGTGGGTTCTCGTTTAACAAGAAACAAGATATGAACTGCTTTGCAAAGCATTTACATTCCGTGTACACTATGTCCGAGTGTCCAATCGGTTTAACTGTGTCTCTTCTGCAAAAAAAAAACATTCGCTCTCTCTCGCTCTCTCTCGCTCGCTCTTCCTCGGGGGCACAAAAGATAGAATTTTTTTCACCTCGGTTCATTCTTTTGTCTGATTGCGAGCGGTTTATTTTGCTTTGTTCTGTTGCTGCATTTTTATCCATTTCAATCGTGATTTTTCTCTCTCTCTCTTCTCCTTTTGATTTGTTTCAAAATGTGTGTTGTTATTCGTTAAACTTGGTCGTTGCGTTTTTTCTCTCTTCTTCTTGCTTTCATCATTATTCGCTTGCGATGCACATAGTTCTGAATGATTATCCGGCGCACTGTGATTTTGTTTGTGATTGACCGACGAGATAATTTATCGCCGAATGACAAAACCAAACAACTGTGCTTTTTAAGACGAGCGAAAAGAGAGAGAAAAAAAAACAGACACTCGTCCACACTCTTAAAGTTCAAAGTTTATGGAAATTGTGCAAAATGCAAAGTGCAAATGAGCATTAAGCAAATCAGCAATTTTCATCGGTTTTGCCTTGTGCATTGCATATTGCAATGGAGATAGCGTGCGCGAGCATTTGCTCGCTAAATATGTCAACACATTGCAACACAAACGCGCATGATGTGACCGATTATTATGTATATTGTTTATACAGAACAAGTAAACAAAATTCCAACATCTCAAGATCTTCCGACTGCAAAATGCAATTTTGCGCATAAATTTCACACAGCTAAAACTATTATAAAATAATCGCAATGAATGAGTGGATGAGTTTGAAAGAGGGAGAGAGAGAGAGAGAAAAGGCGGTTGAAGTTTTGTCATTTGTGTGCAATGCATTGAGTACGGTCGATGCGATGCAGGAAGGTTCAACAAAGCTTAATAAATAAATATTAGGGAAATTTATATGCCGATATCTCTCGCGGTTATAATGTGTATCGATGATAAAACATATGAATAGCCTCGTGATGTTGTCGCCTATATGGTTTTTGTTTTGTTTTCATTAAAAGTAGTCAATGGTTATGCCTCGATTCGCCTCTCTGTCTCTCATCTGATCTGTGCATTTAGGCCGTATGTATCACTGCCTTTACTCATCACGGGCGCAATGAAAGAAAGAAAAATAATAATAATAATAATATTGCCACCGATTTGTGAAGCGAATATTGACTGCCATCAATTCCGCAATACGTTTTGCATTTCAGTGAATTTGTAAATTGATTTATGCAAATTCCGTGCTTGACTTCGTTTAAATCACAAATTATCGACGATGAACGCGCAAATGTTCGACATCATGGCATTTTTATGATAAATTCACCGAAAAAAAAATAATAAAAACAAAATACACAGTAAAAATCGAAACAACAACCGAAACGAAGAAGAAATGACGTCGTTTCATCTTTTCATGTCGTACACCATACGTATAGAAAAAAAAAACAAAAGACAATCCCAAGGAAGAACCATGTAATATTCAACTGTTTATTTTTTTCTGGTTTTTTTTTCGTGCGACCGACCGACCAACTGAATGCGCACATTCACTTGTAACTAGTACGACAAAATTTTGGTTTTCAAATTGGACATTTTCGAAATAATTTAAATGTTGACGAATTTTTGTGATGATTTAAATGGCAAATGCAAATCTGAACCAATTTGAATTCCTCTCCCCGACTGGATTTAGCTTCGTTGTTACTTCGTAAGTACGTACAAACTGTTGTGGTCATTCGACGCAACGTGATTGTTTTATTTTTCAGCGGATTTCAATATTTTCGGTTACAGTTGAGTGACATCGAGTCAATAAACGATGTCAACAACTGATCACAAGGATACGCAGCCACAAGCGCATGGTGAAGTGAGATCACAGCCCAAACACACACACACTCAAATCATTTCCATCTTTTTTTCTTTTCTGATGTACATAAATTTGACTCACATTTTGGGATTTTATCCAAGTTTTGCGCATTACAAAATCAGGTCATTACTTCTATAAAAAAAAAATGCGAATAAATTCGTTCTAAAATGAACCGATCCATGTTGTGGAAAATTTTGGTATAATTTGCGCAATATGCTGATCAAATGGCTCATCGCTCCTAGTTTTATGCCAATGATCATCATCTAGACCTAGTTGATCTCGACGTAATGTGGTAAAAATCCAATGCATTATTCATTCTAGGTGTTTTCAACAGATCGTTCAATTTCATAGCATACTCACCTTATGGAGACCAACCACGATAAAATTGCTAAAAGAGAAATGAACATCTGAAAAATCCTGTAGGGAACATTTTAAATGCAAGAGATTTCTTAATTGAAACAAAAGGCGTAATTTTTTCATTGGTGTAAAATATTTTACGAAATCTTGTTTATTATTATTTTTTCAAAAAAAAACTCGATTAAATCTATTCAAACACTCTCTGCTTAAATTACAATTTGTCTTTACAATTATTATAGAAGTAGTTTCGAAAATACGTGCTCGTTTAATTTTAAAATGCTTAAAATGCTACTGTGTAAATGCTTCCATATTTGTGTGTTTTGTACGACGATTCAAGGCACTGTACATTTCGAATTTGTTTTAAATGCTTAAATAAGAAAATTGTTTTTATGGCTTTTACTCCGAATGATTTTCAATCTACAAAGATCTGTTTTAACATTTAAGTGGTGTTTTTTGTGATTCTTTTTTATTTTCTGTGTGAGTAGAAGCTATGACTAGACTTTCATTGATCGCAAATGTGTTCTTTTTAACAACTGGCTGCAAGTACGTTATATTTTCAATACAAAATGGTTTTCTTTCTTTCTTTCTTTTGACAAAGATCATTTTCGCTACGAAAATGTATCAATTGTGCGTTTGTTATGGAATTCTATCGATTTGCTTACGATTAATATCGCGAATAAGTGCAACTGTCTCAGTCTTTTCGAGAGATTTTCTTCTTCGTCTGTCCCTTAACTTGATACGTTAATTCTTTTTATTGGTACAAGTTTAAATTGTGTGATATTTGAATGCCGGGACAGCCGACTTCGATGTGTTTCGTTAGCAGTGACATTCGGCTGAATGTTTTCGAACACGTTGTGCAGCTGTATTTTTTGATTTCGGAATGTGTTTGTAGATGTGCACGTAGATTGGATCGATCGGCGAAGGCACGATGACAATGTTGACATTCGAATGGTTTTTCACCAGTGTGTGTACGGATGTGCCCTTGAAGTAACCACGGTCGCGAGAATGCTTTGCCGCAAATTTCACATTTGCAGGGTAACGTATGTGTACGAATGTGCATCTTTAAAGCGCCCAACGATGTGTACACCTTATCACAATTCTTGCAACTGAACACTTTTTTCGCTTGATTCCCTTCAACCGCCGGACAATGGAATTGCTGATGTTTCGATAAACCAGAGTACGTTGAATACGATTTCGAGCAATCGGTGCATTGATAGTGTGCGTTCTTGGAGACTTTTTCCGGTTTAGATTTTAGTGTTGACAATTTATCGACTGGGGCGCCAGCGCTCATTGCAGTTACATCACGGAATACAGAGTATGTGGCGGGTGTTGATGTTGTCGTTGACGGTTGTTCAGAGATCGATGAATTGGTTGACATTGGGGATTCTGATCGTCTTGGTGATTGTTCATATGAATTGTATGACGCTTGACTACTTGCCGGTGACAGCGGGAACACATTGAACAATGGTCGATGCGGTGTGGTGTTATTGTTCCGAACACTATTGTGATCCACTCGATATGGTGTGAAATATTTTGGATTGATAAACGGATCGGCTTTGATGATGTTATTATTGTAGTTGGTTCGCAGATCCATTGATGGAATCAAATAGGGTGATGGGTATGGTGGCAATGTTTGTGGTTTGAATAAGCCATCTTCTTTTGCGTAACCAAAATGTGATTCATACCGTGCGGCTGTGTATGTGGATAGGTACAAGGAATCTAAGCTGTCACTTGTTCCGGTGTAGTGCATCGGTGGTGTTAACGGGCATGGCCAATTTTTGTAGATCATTTCCTTTGAGATTACCTCCTGTTTGATGTCGTTCAAACTCTTTGACTTTTCCACTTTAATGCTGCCCACTTTCAATGCAACGGGTTTATCATCGATATCGTCTTCGATTTCAATCATTGATTCCACGGATGAGCAACGTTTTTCACAAATCGGTGTCGGTGGCGGACTGTTGGCACGTCGACGTTTACTGTTCACTGACAAATCTTCCGGTTCATTTTGTTCAATCATTGATCGTGATTCTTTTGACTCTTTTTCCATCATCAAAAATGGTCGCTTTTTCAAAGGACAATTACTGTAGTTTTTTTCCGCGGTTAACATCATGTTTGATTTTTTTTTCTTCTGATTTTTAACTTTTATTCACCATAAAAAAAATTAGAATTGTCTTTATTTAAAATATTGTCTATTTAACTGTTAAACTCAAATCACTTGCTTGTTCGTGTTTCGAACTATTGTGTTGATGAGCGTAAACTGATTAAACGAAAACCAATTATACGGTGATCGCACAAAATAAATCGCTGTTTCGATTCGTTCGAAAGAATTGAAAATAAACGAAATGAAAATAAAGAAAACAACGAAAGATGCTCTCTAGTCAAGACTCAAAACTTGAATGATCAATTCCCAGTGAGAACCTGCTATTGTATACTCGGTCGAAAGCGTAAACTCACACACAAACGACCGCAATGGTAATGCGTTCATCCCTACTATTTTATCGTTTGTACTACGTTTTGAACTAGCACGTGCCATCGAGCCAATAGCCGAGCTAAAGTGGAAAAAAAAGGTGACGATCTCGATTTCTCCTCTTTTCGTTCGTTTGTTGTTTTCTATTTGCTTTGCTGAATGAATCCCACCAGCCCAGCAGATCGACGTAAACGACGACGAAGAGAAGCGAAGAAAAAAAAGGTTTGGAATACATGCACAACCGAAACACACTCCTAACACAAACACACTGAAACAGGGGCAACACAAACATCGTAACCGGCTAACCATGCGATACACGTGCACCACAACGACGATGTAGTGCTTTCGGCTTCGGTGCTCTGCTACGTGTGGTTCGATAAGTGCAATGTATAAACGAAAAAAGAGGGGGAAACAGGTGTGCTCAACACACATACACAACCAAAGCGATTATATGACGAATCAAACACACACACACACCATACATACGCTACGCGACTCTCTTGAATGACTTGATATAAATGTTCAAATCATATTCAAAACGACGAACAACACATCTCCTCTCGGTTGACGGCGATGACAAAACCGAATCCAGATAGATCACACACAACACGCTCAATATGAAAATGGTATTGTTTCGCTGCTGGTGACGAAGCGGTTCTCTCTCTTGCTCACTCTTTGTTTTACTCGCTTCGTCGTATAAAACTATACCCATTTGCGATGTAACGTAGATACGGTCGACTGCATTTATGGGAGTCGTTCGTGTACTTATTATGAGAGATATGACTCGCTACTGCTTCAGCCTCAGTTTCATCGCTCACAATGCGCCAATCGTTCGGCGATTATAAATTAAGTGGTAGATTCAATTTGAATATTTCAGAGCCGGATTTTTCGGTGACGAGAAAAATTGCCGAGCCAAGGGATTTCTTATCGTTAAATTATTGTGTGATCGAATATCTGCGATGATTTATTCAATGATTTTATGCTGAAAGCGGAAGTGAAAATCATATTTTTATCGCCGCATATTAATGAGAACGACGCTCAAACGCGTGGTATTTGATAATCACCCTTTATTTCATTCGAAAATATAACAGCCCATATTTTGACATTCAATTATAGCATATGCGATGCGTGTTAACACTTAGAAGATGCACACAGCCAGATGCATCTGGCTGGAACATGGGAAAATGAAAAACAACCGAATATCCGCGTCAATCTTAGTCTTGATTGCGCAATCATCGTTCGAAATTCGATCTTGAATGTGGAACAAAAAAAACAGCTCGACATGATTTTAAGATATTCTCTATCGGTCGCGGCCATATCCTCCGTTCCAAGGTAGAGTAAATTCAACGCAAGGGGAATTCAGACAACAAATTATGCATTATTTTATCGCTTATGACGTATATTTACTACTTCTGTCGAAACTTCTTCCAAGAACACTCCGTGATGCTCGTTGAATTGAGCACAAGCAGTCACATTGCATCGCCAGAAGGGAGCGAAAAAAAAAACACTTTGTTTTTATTGACTAGAAGGAACAAAAAAATTGAAAGCATTTCTTACGTCTTTGTTTTCATTTTATTGCTACATTCATTTAAATATAAACTGCGCACTTTCAAGTTAAGTTTTTTGTTTTCTTTCATAAATCATTTGACAAACAAAGGCAAAAACAGTTCGGAATTTCATAAATCATTCATGTTTAGTACGTCAAGAATATGGCAAATTTTCGCTTTCAATCGACTATCAAATAGTAGTTTTGGTTTTTTGCTCTTCACGTACTTTGCATGCGGACGCAAAATGAGCCATTGAAAAATGCAAATCAAATGTAATGACGTTTCTCGTTTTCTTGAGCAAATTTATACCTGTAAGTTAGAAGAAATCAACAAGTTGTTTTGTGGTGATTTTATTGAGAAAAATTGCGCCGGCTGAAAATAAATCGTCATTTCTTTAATGCGACATTTTTTTCTACGCGATTTATTCATACATTGGTTATGGCATGAAATCGTTTGAATTTGCCAGCGTTTTTTTCTTATTCAAAGCATCTTTTCCGACGTAGTCACTTAACATAATCGGTGTTTACATTGCTTTGCGAGTACAAGAGAGAAAAAAAAAGAGAAATTGAAAGAACTCGATGTGCACACGCAGATCGAACGCGACTAGCCGAAGAGCAGTGCTCACTTGGATGGCTAGTATGTGGATATTTTTGAGACATTATTCAAAACGACATTTCACATTTATATTAATACATTTAAAATGCATGTTACCACCCAGAAATCAATAGAAAGAATGCTAATCCAAATGTATTGTGTGTGTATAAGGCATACTCTGCATGCTTATCCTCGGCAATACTGTACGTACGTTTTTTTCTTGCTCCATTGCGTTTGTTCAATCTCTTTATCTAAGTCGATCCGAATCCTATTATTCAGCCCGTTTGAAGAAATTGCACACTTAGCAATGCAATGATAGCATAATATCGTATTTATTGATAAAAGATTTTCCATTTTTATCGTTTTCGCATATATATGATTACCGTTTCTCTCATGGCCGTCGTCGTCGTTGTCGTGGTCGTCAGTGTGCGATTCGATGCGGTTGTCGGGAATAATATATTTGTTGTTGTCTTAATAAGTTGGAACAAAAAACCAGTCGCATTGAGTTAGTTTGAATGCAAATCGCGCTCTTCTCTATTGGAAAGGTCGGTACGTATGCAAACAAACTGCGAACACACAGAGATCAAGCCGGCGAGAGAGAGAGAGAGAGAGAGAGAGAGAGAGAGAGAGAGAAACAATCGGCAAACGGATGATTCAGTCGTCGACGTAGTGGTCATAACCGATGCTAAACTAATAGTAATATCACTAGCCCGTGCCGCAATTTTGTTGTCTACGTTTTTTTTTATCATTGAGACTCCAGCGCACACAGAATGGTTGCGTCAGGTCAATTATTTTAAAAGCATTGAGTTTTTGCCTGTGCCACAGAGAGCACTGTTTTTTTCGTTATTCTTCGTTCCCGCCAGCAGAAGACTTTGGTTATGTAACGAAAGGGGGAAAAACGATGGTTGACTTTTTCACTGTGAGCGCTGACTAAGAGAAATATGGCACAGTTATAATTTATTGGCTAGTTTATGCGAAAATAATATTCTTCCAAATGCCCGGGCCATCGATTTCGATTTCAATTTCCACTATAACTCTTCGGCGAGCGAACGAACGAAGCGAGTGAGAAAGAGAGAGAAAGAGAGAGGCGATGTGCTCGCATAAAAGTTCATCTTGTTAGCGTGTTAAATAAATGGCTGCAACATTTTCGAGTGTGTATGTGTGTGTGTGTGTACTGGCGCGGCGGCCAACGGCAGTTCAACCATACCATTCAATTCAACAATAATTCATGATGACCGTTTGAAACTGGCATAATTGAAACTTTCAAAATTACTTATGACCGCGCTCGCGTATTTTAAACCATGTCGTGCACACACAGTGCACAGCAGCTTCATGATTTAGCTAATTACAGCCAAACTCATGTAGAAAAAAAACCGTGGACGCGATACTTTTTTTTTGTCTCTTTCTCTTTGTGCATTCTTTGCACTCAATCCAGTTTTGTAATCTTTTGTTGTACTCAAGGAAATTATTCATTCACTCACTTTTTCCGTGTATTTTTCGAGAGACACAAAAAAATTACACGAGACTCGGGTCTCTCTAATAGATCTATTGCATATGAACGGTAATGGATTTGAAGCGAAAATCTCAACCATTGAAATTGCAAGTAAAACAATAAAAAAAATCCATTTTTTTGCGTTATGAATTTAGACGGAAATGTTCGATTTTGCAACAAGTTGGAAACAGTTTTTGCCACAGAAGAGTTATTAACGCCAAAAACAATGCCACACATCTAGGAGACGAAAAAAACATAGCTGGCGGGAAAATGTCTTGAAATTATAAAAAGTTATTATCGAAAATTGTGTAACACTTCCAACAATTTTACGTCAAATCCATGTGTTTGGCCTTTACACATCAAAACAAATTATTGATTGAAGAGAAAATATGGCACATTTCTCTCTTCGAAAAACCGTTACCCGAATCAAAGGGATTGCATATAGTACAGTTTAGTTTTTGCACAGAACAATGGTTGCTATTGTTCACAGCAGATGCACTTGCTGATTAACATGCGATCTAAAACGAGGAACACCTTGTCAAATCAGTGCGCATATGCCATAGAAATAGTGTCGTTTGATCAAATCTCTCTCTCTGCCTCCCTGTCTCAGTCTACAGATTCTTAGATCTTTTGATGATTTGCTGTTTGGGTGTGCAGCATCAGCTTTTGTCATCGAAATGCCGATTATCAACAAAGAATAAAATATGTGACATTACAAACTCAAAACCGAAAATCTGCACCGACGCTAAACATACCTGTTTTTTTTTTCGTGCATTGAATGAAAGCAGCACACAGTTTCCAAGTATTTGAAAAGAAGAAGAAAACATGATTAGTTTTTAGCAACAACAATAAAGCAGCAAAAAATTCAAAGAATTGATACAGTGATGCAAAATATGCAGCAGGCTTCTCCCTTATCCACTTCATTCGTCATCATCTCAACATCGGCTGTTTATTTATCGGATGGATGCATCGATGTCTAGATTTTCTCTGTACATTTTGCCTTTGCCACACATCAGATGATCTTCATCTCGATTGGTACAAAGTGTACGAAACACCTTCGAAAATTATTTTTGCGTTTTTTCCCGTCTGCCTAGTAACATCAGTCGTTCATGAGGTTTGTAGGGCAATGAAAAGATCACAGTAAAGCCACAACTATCGGACGAAGAACCATTCGATAGTTCTAAGTTGTATTTTGAAGGGACACCTTTTGCGCATAGCTAGTTTCAAAGAGGACTTACTGTACATAGTCGATTTTTGTTTCTTATTTGCACCGAGTAGCTCATGCTATAAGT